CAGTTTGTCTAGAGATTTAATAGACTACAGTAGACAGGTACCATAGTCCCAGGTGCCATTCTTTTTGGATTTCATAATCGTTGTCATCAGCCATTCTTGATTCACTGATAGTCACGTTCATTAAATATTGCTGTAGAATCAGACACACTGATGGTTAGTTCTGCTGCTAGTAAGCTTTCGTATATCTGTTAGAAAGACGAAAGTCCTTAAGGCAAGGACTAGTTCGTAGAAGTTGTTATTTTTTAAATGCTGATGACTGATATTTTTCATAAATTAGAGACCGAAGGAATTTCCGTAACAGCGTTACAGCACTTTTCACCAGATTATTGTAATACTTGTCATAGAGGGCCCTGGTTGCTTCTTTACAGAAATATCTTGTCCATTTACGTGGTGACTACAGGATATACTCATTGAACATTGTGCAGAGACAAATGACTCTGTAGATCCAGGGATCCCAAAATTCGAGTTATCTAAACAGTTATACAGATGAACAAATATGTAAATCAAGGTGGAACTGGCTATCTATTGTTACTGTAAACTCGACGCTCAGGTTATGAACCTGCGTATTTGATTCATGATCAGTTCTCCACACTGCCTCTTTCTTTCTTCCGTTCGAAGACGCTTTAGCACATTATCAAATAAAGCGCAATAAACGTGTTTCAATAGTTTCCGATAAAGAACGGTTCTGACAAATAAAGTTAAAGAGATCATTTGCTAAGTGCCACTTGTCCGAGACCGTCGGGGAATCTTCAGGTTTTTGCAGTAACAAGCTTTCACACTTGTTTTGTTGAAAAACAACAAACTTGCTCAACTAACGAAGCACAACTTTGTTTTCCTGTTGGTGCTTTTTGCATCAAATGTTTGCTTTAAAGATTGTACCATGATCTACTGTGCCAGGGTATTCCGATTTGTCAGCTGCCGTTCAAAAAACTTCATCAATCGATTTCGGTTTTGTACCTCGTAAGAAGGGCGTTTATTGAAAGTGCGGCTGATTGAATTAGATCGAATGCGAGGCACGAAAATGAAACTACGTTGCGCAACTTCTTGAATTGAGCAGTTGTACCGACTTTTCTAAATTTCCATGATTTATTTATGGCCTGCTTCGGATCTGCCTTCAAGAGAACACTCGTTGAATCGATCGCCTGTTACTTCGAGTCCCCGCTAATAATAGACTTATGCACTGAAGCGGCGGTTCGTAGCTCAGAC